AAAGCCTGAAGTGCAAACTGGCGCACTGTGACGCGCAGCGTAAGTAAGCATGCGTACATAATGATGGGCTGGGTTTAGTTTATCTGTCCACTCGTGTCTCTCCAGCTCGCGAAGAGTCTGACGCGGGCTAACTACACTCTATGATAGCATGCGAGAGGCGATACACGCCCTCGTTGCATCTTCTGGTGCCCTCCGAGTACGCAGAGCACGCGGATCGATCAGACCGCGTAAGCTCCGTCGTTGTGTATTTGCATATTGGCTTTTTCGCGCTCTATAGCTTTGCAACGGAGCGTTTCAGAGAAACCGTTCGAATTTTTCTGACCTTCATTGCCGTTCAGTAGGTGGTTCCTTTGTGAGACGAAAGAACATTCGAGAAGTGAGATGAAGAGTACCAGACAGACTGACTGACACAACAAACCCACTACTGTACCCTCGCTGCGCATGCGCGCCGAGGGTTAATAATTATATAGCTACACCACTCAACACTAAACAAAGGGCACTAAGCGACCCAAAATCACCCACTGATGACTGTTGGCTACTGGTATAGAGAACTGCAACGGAAGTTGGAGCCATCCATGAAGTCCAATGTTCCCTCATAGTGACTGAGGGTCCAGCTAGTACACTGTGGAAGTTGAAACAGTAGCTCATGTACTCCAGGACTGACGGCACAGAGCTGTGAGGAGTAGACCTGAGAGTTGCAGCAGAGATTATCAGTCATCCTCACGTCAGTTTCTGCTTCTCCTGGTCTTTATCAGAGCTTTACTATTGCCTTCCCATTCCTACATAACAAAAGATATGGGTAACACATGTGATCGATAATCTGGCTATTTACCATCATGCATACTATAGCCTACGTAACTGATCTTCTGACAATACCGTCATTGGCCTGAGATGAGAAATAATAGTAATTCACTGCGAACGGTGGATACATACATAATAATTACCAGATATATTATCCAGACGCAATCCGCTGATAGATCATTCAGAATGAATGAGATTCGCAGCACTCACTGAACACCATTATCCATCCCATGCTCCACCTGTACAACAGAGATAACATGATTGCCCTGTACACAGCAAAAAGTGTGAATCGGCTCACGCAGCATACTTGCTTCAGCTCCTCTTGTTCGATGCGGTTAGACTGGGTTCCGATCAAAATGTGGTATCCGCTGGTGGTATGGATATCTAGTTTTTGAGTGGTCTGCACTTGTGGTTGTGAGTTGTCGTCTCGGTGCGTTGGGGAGGCGGGCTCCGCGATTGATTGGGTGTGTTAGGCGTCTGGTAGTTGGATTGTGTTGTGTGTCATCGAGAGGTAAGGAATAGTGGGAAGTTGTGGGTTGCTCGAGTACGCGTGTGACGGTGAGTTTATTAAGTGAGCTCTACTCACATGAAAGATGTTGATCCTGAGCCATCACAACATTAGCCAACCAAAAGTATTGCCGTTGTGACATAATTATACGCTGTGACACTGGGGTAGTCAGATTTGGTCACTGGCTCTGTCTGGTCCCGAATGACGGGCTATGTCTTGGTACAGAGCTAATTGGTGTCTTCTAGCTCAGCATAATCGTGGAAAACCCTTACCTTGTGACGGTCTGTGGTGGTGCCACAAGGAAGGATGATAGATCATGCCAACTGCCGACACCTGCCCAGTACGAGAGGTCACTGGTGAACTAGCACTTGCCTGCGTAGTGCAGGAAATATCTCTGGGGGTGATGTTTGGCAGTAAGCTCTCCGCTGGAATTTAAGAGGTATTAAAGTAAACTGAGTTAGATGAAGTGCGAGAGTTCTGTTTAGTGCTGGTTATGTGATCGTCGGCCATGGTTCAAAAAAGCGGATTTGCTCAGATACTGTGTGATGCAGTTATGTATATGAACTGTAGAGCGTAGCATCCTCGTACACAAACACTACGCAGTGTATGACTTATAGTATCGTGGCAGTACTGACGCAGCCATAGCCAGAGGTGGCGATGGGCGGTGGAGTACCAGAGTAGAGGGTAGGAGAAGAGATGTCTGACATGGAGAGAGGTCAGGAGGGGTGGGGGGGGGGGGGGTGGGGGGGGGGGGGTGTGTTGGGGGGGGGGGGGGTTGGTGGGGGTGGGGTGTTTGGTGGCGTTGGTGGGTTTGTGGGGTTGTGGGGGGGTGTTGGGGTTGGTGGGTTGAGGGGGGGGGGGGGGTGGGGGGGTTGAGTTTTTGGGTGGTGGGTTTGAGGGATGTGACGTAGAACCAGTGCCAGGGATACCCCATCAGACAACAGGGTATTGAATCTGACCTGCGATGCAGGATAGAGGAGTCACACTAGTTTTTAAATCCCCCCATTAGCACTCAAGCATACATTGGATCTTCCATTACAGACCCAAAAACTCAATAAAGGACACACTTTGAGGTCCAAGCAATATTGTTAAATTTCTATTATTCTAGATACATTTTTTTTATCTCGCAATGAGAGGACAACCCTCCCACGTGTCCTTTATCTGAGTTCGACTGTACTTGGGGAAAGCTTTTTTCTTGCCTCTTGCAGACCAGGATACTACAATTTCCAGGACCAGTAATACTGTATGTATATTATAAGTTGACAAGCCTGAATGTACAAGGAATGTGGTTAGTATTTTGACTGCAGTCCGATCTCATGGCCAACTGACGCAGCCTGTTAGCTATATTATATATACCCTTTTTAAAGCTTCCTTTCATTTGTTTGGTGTAGGGTTACCAGATTAAAAGAAGGAATGTAGGGCTTACCTAAGAGGGTATCTGCTTTGAGTATATACATAATTATACAGGAGCACACAGAACGATAAGATGCTAGGAGTTGAGATAAGGTTTTTGGGACCAGTTCTGGTCACTCCCGACGTACATAGCTATTACGCTTGTCAGTGCGAACCACGCAATTATAGCACTCCTATAATTATGTTCAATCCAATACAACCTGTGCTATCAGGCAGGTCAAGTACACCGGAGTGGGTAGGTACGTGATAAACGCTGCAAACATTTTGATCTCTCGTTCGAGACGCGAAAACTGCAAGGTTGCGTGGCCAACCATCCATATGCGTAGTCGGCCACTCCAAGTGGCATTCCGGTTTTCCTGGTCGGGGCCGTGTCAGATGGTGCGAGCGGGGCGGGTTTTACTCACTAGTCCACTTAGTAAGTAATAAGGACCACACACATTCATAGTGGGAAGACTGTCAAAACGAGACCAGCTCAAAGCCATGCGCAAAGTTACAACGAAGGGCGCGTGTATCGACTCGCACATGCTATCTACTACTATCACTAGCCCGTGTCAGACTCTCCTAGCAGGTATACTTAGACCAGCCCATCAATTAGCGGTACGCGCATGCGCAGTTCGCCGATGGTCAGTTCAATATACCGCGGAGTCGCAATTCCGCATGCATGCGTACTATAACGTAAAAAACTTGGGCGTGGCTCCAAAATCCACACCGTGTGCGTTGCAAGCACAGCAGGTCGTGTCGTCCCAACAGGGCAGAAGGTAGCACAAACTCTCTGCTGTAGGCCAGTGTGTAGTTTTGAAATCTAAACACCTAAAAGCACTGCATATCTTCATTCATACTCATGTCTGAAGAAGAGAATGGACAACAAAGAACAGTAGCTAGTTGTTCAAAGGTACTTGGGCATTGCCACCATACTCAATTACTACTGTCAGATGAATGAGCTTAGTGGACATGGACACTACCCATGCATCAGTCTTGCTTGGAGTGTTTTGTGTTGGAGTCTGAAGAGGGACCAGATTTGACATCTCCATTCACGTCATGTGAGTCCTTGTGGTCTCTGAGACTGTCTGGATGGTACCAACAGCAGTACCAGTAGAGGAGCCAAACTCGGAACAAAGTAGTGGTAACTAAAAAGTGAGGGATTGCGAAGAGGAGAGGTGGGTAAAGTGTGAGAACAACAAAGTGATTGTTATCTTTCCTCATCCCTTTAAGCTATATATGAGTATACCTACAATAGCGCACGTTTGTGAAAAACGGCAGATTCGGAAGTTTCACATAAACAGTTTTACCCATAACACTGATGAAGGCTCATTCCTCACACCATATTGTGCGGTCAAGCATTATCACTACCAACACTAGCCTCGTTCCCAGGCCGTCAGCGTGAAAGAGAAGGGCTGGTAGACACTGTTTGTGCATGCACGGAATATTCCCAAAATTTGGGGAATTTCGTTAGGATTCTCTCAGAGTCCTTGACGTCATCAACTGCATACTTTTTGGATACTTCCCGCCACATGGTTAGTTGCACACGCTCGAGAGGCAGAGGAGAGGCGGCAGTACGGCGCTACCTGAAATGCGCAGATCTCACGTTTATGAATGACTCACCCTTAACAACCCTGCCGACTGGGTCAGTGGTGAAAATTTGCCAGCAGGACTGAATTGTCGTGTGCCAACATTTTTCTGTGACGTGAATTCGGTGCATGCGCAAACAGTGTGTACCAGGCCTTCTGTCTGGGAACGAGGCTACATATATCCACACAGACACTATGGTTGCTAACCTGCAGAAGGTCCATACATCAGAGGGCCACAAGAGCACCAGCTGGAGGCTACAGTAGGCCACATACACCTGAGTGAGGACCCATGTAGCTATGTGGTAGGTCCACTTCAACACAGGACCATGACCGGTGAAGAATGGGTTACACCACCTCCTCATCTGGGAGAGAGAATGGGGGAAGAGGGAATGAGGGGGATAGTGGGAGAGGGTGTTTATGTTTCCATGGGGGGTTAGTGCAGTGTTTGAGCTCTTTATTGAACCTTCCGCAGTGTGTTAAACACATACTAGATATACAACAACAAGTGATAACACACAGACAGATGGATAAAGTACTGTAACCCTAGCTGTGCATGCATGCATGCATAAAGAGTGGTCGTTTTATGGCAATATTATACTGTAGCTCACACACAAAACACCATTACAGCATTAAAACAGTACTACCACTAGCAGGATTTCTTCCCTCTCGGAATCCCAATGGTTTGACATAATTTCTGAGAACCAGGTAGTGAGTAGTGGGGTTCCATACCTTCTTGGCTGCCATCAGAGAGATTCCAAAGTGGAGGAAACAGAGGTAGTACCCGGGATAGAAGCCGTGCCACCAGGCAGACAGCAAGAAGCTGGCCAGAGTTGGATTCCATGACACTCTCTCATAACACACCCTGTGGTGGAACACAACTCAGAGATTACTCCATTGAAAGACGTCTTTACATCCCATCAGCACACATTATAAAACATTTTTGTATATCTGACAATAAAGGCATTGTTGGCATAGTTTAAACTCTAAACAGATGGAATTTCGCAATTGTGTATATATGCAGCATGCGTGTACTCTCATGGTTATTCACCAACAATGTGTTCATATATGTAGTATGTACAGTACAGGGATAAACTTTCAATTCTAGGTCACAAAACGAGCCCTAAATATGTTTATCTTATGTGCATTACTAATGCACATAAGAAATTTTAAATTAGCCGGGGTTACTTGAATATTTCTCCAACAAAAAATATCCCACTATATGGTACATACAACACATACAGACCTTCTCAGCCAGAGGGCAGAAATGATGTTCCAGCGGTTGATGCTGTTCCTCAGGTTCATCGACGACTCCATACCAACGGTGTCGTAATTCTGGGCCAGCCCCCATTTCGGTCTGTTCCGTTCGTCGTAACCTTCGAACCCCAGCCCAGCCGCATTGCTGACGCTGTCGTTGAGAGCGAATATGAAATAGAACCGACAGCGGATGATAAAGCACACCAGGGAGAAACGCAGCACCTTCACAAACACATTCACGGAGGGATCTATACAAAAGTGAGAGCATAAATACGGAGATTAACGCCCATTTAGAAGTGTTAGCAATTACATATCATACCTATGGGGAAGGGTGTGTGGTAGTCAACAGAATAGACATAGAGGGCACAGAACCCCAGAGCTATCAAGAGCTTGGTACATGCTGGATACTGGATGGAGCAGATACAAAGAGAATGTGCATATCACACTCACACATTGAAGGAGAGGTATAGAGAGCAAAAATGGAGGAATATTATAATAATTGTACAATGAAAAGCACTAAAGTGCAAACCCTCGGCGAACTGCGCATGCGCGGTACCACTAATTGATGGGCTGGGCTTTTCTTTTCTTTACTCGTTGTATCGCGCTAGTAGCTCGCGGAGAGTCTGGCACGGGCTAGCTACAGTAGTAGATTGCATGCGGGAGTCGATACATGCCCTTCGTTGTGACTTCTTGTGCCTTCAAGATACACAGAGAGCGCGGACGCAGTCGAGGTAAGCCTGTGCTAATTACCATATTGGCTTGTTCACTTGGTTTTCACGCCATAACTTTAGAACGCAGTAGTTTTACGAAAATCGCCTTTTTTAAAATCAACCCAGTGTAGCACTGAACCCGATCATATCGCTATTTACCTGATTTCGTGCGCGCGGTGGCAGAAAACGTGGTAACAGACAGAATGACAGACTGACACACTTACGAAACAACTACCGTAACCCTCGCTGCGCATGCGCGCCGAGGGTTAATAATTGTAACTTGTGGAAGTTGACTAAGCAGTATAAGGCCTATAGGCTGGTCTGTACCTCACCAGGTAAGATGGCTCTTTATGTTTCTCTGTAGACTGTGACTATAGGTATAAAGAGAGAAAAGCAGTGAGAGAGATTAATGCACCAAGATGTCAGTAAAGTGTACAGCTTTGTATGCCAAAGTGTATGCACACTAACTGTATTCACGTGTGTCATCATCAAAAGTGGTCTACAACAATATCATGCTTCACACAATCCCCAAGTCACCCCTCCACACTCACAATACAGTCACTCACTGTGTTGGTTGTCGCCTGTTGGCTACTGGTAGCAGAGGCTGAAAAGTTGGAGCCATCCATGAAGTCCAGATGCTCCCTCATAGTGACTGAGGGTCCAACTAGTACACTGTGGAAGTTGAAACAGTAGCTCATGTACTCCAGGACTGACGGCACAGAGCTGTGGAGGAGGAGACTAAGAGTTGCAGCAGAGATTATCAGGTCATCCTCACGTCAGTTTCTGCTTCTCCTGGTCTTTATTGAGAGGCCTACTATTGCCTCCCATTCCTGAAACACAGGATGTGATAGTTGGTGAACAACAGCAGGTAATGCAAGCAACAGAGAGCTCACCATCATGAACAGCAAATGGAACAAGACTCAGTTTCTGCACCAGTATCATCATTGGCCTACAAAGGAACATTAAATCCAACTGCAGACGTGTGTACATGTATACAGCTCTTCTTCTTTTCCTTGAAAAGAAAGAGTTGTCCTGGGTGTAGTTGACTTGTTTGCTTTGCCTTGCCTTTCTACCTCACTACTTTAGTTGTAGACACATACATACGGTGGTATACTGCAAGGCGCCCTTGTTTGCATGCAGAGTACGGACCACTAACCAAGGTCAATGAGTAGGTCGAGAGTTGTGACGGCAGCGATAATGTGCTAGAGTGGCCTAGACCACTCGGTACTTAGGCAGACAGCTCAAAGGATTAGCACAGACCGGCCTCGCTCTGCTTGGGGTGTGATCAGTACTGGGGGGCTGGGCAGGAGTCCTTAGACACACCCCCTGCCCGCATAATTAACCCAGTTCTTTGGCCAACATCCTCAACGTGTATACGCTCATAGACACGCAGCAATACACGATAAATTGCACACAATATGCACGGCATGATTGTACCCCAGATGATGTTAGGGATCGATACTGTAGTGCAGTTACCATAGTTCTATGGTCAAGGTGAGTCATTACCCCGTGATATCCAAATGCCATCCTCCGTAGTCAGTGAGGGTGCGGTAGAGATGACCGGAGCTCATGAACACAAACACCCATCCCATACTCCACCTGTACACAGTGCAAACTACAGTCTGAGGACACCATGAATGAGTGTCGGTCACATACACCACATATCTAAACACATGGCATACAAATATTTTGAGTTGCTGCAAAACCTAAACCAACTGGGGACACAAATTGTAAATGCTTTTTTCAATTGTAGCGGTTTTTAAAAGTAGAGTGGTCATAATTGTTTTAGCTGCTCCTAATTTGGTGTGGAAACCTTTCTGTCATATGTGCATGTGTTAATAGGAGCTCTAACCTCTGGACCACGTTTGAAGGTGCAGCTAATAGAATGATGTAACCAACTGCTACACCAACTACCAGGACCATCACCTGCCTGGAGAGAAAAAAAGAACAGTGTGTGTGTGTGTGTGTGCGTGTGTGTTTGCATGGGGGAAGAGAAGTCCGTGGTCACATGCATTGGCTTTTGAATGCCTGTAGTCCCACCACCCATCCCCACACCCAACAACTAGAGAGCCCTGTCTGCTCTGTCTTGTTTTGTCTGTCATTACTTTCGGCGCGCATGCGCAGCGAGGGTACGGTAGTTGGGTCTGTGTGTGTGTGTGTCTGTCTGTGTGTCTGTCTGTTACTCAACATCTTACTTCTCGAATGTTTGTTCGTCTCACAGACAATACGACGGGCAATGAAGGTCAGAAATTTCGAACGGTTTTCTCTGAAACAGCTCCATTGCAAAGCTAGAGCGCAAAAAAGCCAATATGCAAATACACAACGGACGGGATGGTTTACCACGGTCTGTCCGATCCACGTGCTCTGCGTACCTCGGATGCACCAGAAGATGCAACTCAGGGTGTGTATCGCCTCTCACATGCTATCTAGTAGTGTGGTTAGCCCGCGTCAGACTCTGCACAAGCTGGCAAGAGACCACAAATAACAGCTAAAACTAAACCCAGCCCATCAATTAGTGGTACGGTGCATGCGTTTACTTACGCGTGTGCATGCGCCGAGGGTTTGCACTTCAGTGCTTTTCATTAACCTAATGCACCAGTCATCAGGGGAGGTTTACCTACATCCTTACTGCCTTGTTGTGACAAGATTAGACAAGATGCCTGGGGTCTTCTTCCAACCACAGAGTGGAGTAGAGGTTACCCAACAATTGAGTGGGCAGTTGGGCATGCTGGTGGTTTTTTTACTACTACTATAGGGATGGCACTCTGAATGTGTGTGTGCTGTGCATGCAGGTGTGCAGAGCAATGGTAGTACTCAGAACGCTACTTGGTTGGACCAGTTTTGATTTATGCTTTTCGGTTGCACACTAGTGACTAATGCCATAATGGATTTGACAGTGTTACGTACACACTAGAAACATGCAAAGTACAAGAACGTGTATGTGGTGTATGTGTGCTAAACACGATGAATGAGTGTTTAATACATGAAGCAGATTTCACAGCTGCCGCTGCACAGAGCCACTGGACCACATTGTTGTACTCACCAGTCATAGCAGAGGGCGGCGAGGGTGAGACCAGAGAGAGAGGAGAAGAGATGTCTGACATGGAGAGAGGTCCAGGAGGGGTGGAGGATGTGACGCAGCACCAGCGCCAGGGGATACCCCATAAACAAGAGTACAACACATCGTACCTAGAATCGACGCGGGACAAGCAGAAAAGGACCGATCGTAACGCTGCTGCTTCCTATCAACTAACCTGGTCATCAGGTGTGTCAAGCACACCAGAGATGTACTGGATCAAAACTTCAAACATTTTTTGTCTATACTTTATGCTAGTCCCAGCCCAGTCCCCTCTCGCGATCGCCGAGCCACGCGCGTGCTGTATGCGCTTTGCGGGCTATTATGCGCATAGTTAATGAGCTTTCCTGCCCCAGTGCGCGCGCGCGCGCAGTGCGTGACACCAGTAACACACCCACAACCACCAATCCACCATAGCCGAGCTATACAGCTAGCTATATACCTCGGGCTTGTCTGGATTGGTAGGATTGACAGTTTTGCACATGCCAGTGGCAAAGCTTTGTAGGGATAATCTTATCTTAGAACCATGTCACGTGTCCCAGTGCTCGGGAAATCCCTAGAGTAGCGTCGCCCCTAGGGAAGCAGAATATAGTATGTTGCAGTTCCTGCTTTTGAGAAGAGAATGGATTCCTCAAGATCTTTTCGGTGAGTGGTTAATAATTCCACACTTTTGTAGGCAACAAATCTCTAATGGTGCCTGGAGATGAATAACTGAGAGCAAACAAGCTTGCCCAAAACCAGAGGTGGTGCAATATGACCTATCTCCAATCACAAATGTATGGGATCCTCCAGCATGGCTGTTTCAACATTAGGCAACTAGCCTGGTAGTCCCACTGCAAACTCAGCGAACATGCTTCATTAGCAATGTAACATGCTTTTTTTACTCACTAGCACAGCTAAATTCTGCCAAAGTTCTGCAAAAGGCATTAGCTGTCAACTTGAGCATGACCACCATGCTACATACAATCAGTCTTAGAGTGCATGATTCTGCTCCACTGATTTAGGCAAAACACCAATCTCACACCTGCCATACCATTTGGGCACAAACCGCTGTCCTCTTTTTTTCTTTTCTCGCGTCACTTGCTTGTTATCTCTTATGCGATATTTAAGGTTTCCCTTTGCTCACAAATCATACATTAGAAATCGGTGGTAAAATGAGAGACAAAAACAGTCAATATAACATAGTGTCTGGCTCATAGATGGGTTGGGGGTGGAGGAGCTGTGAAAGAATGAAAGGGAATCAAATATAGGGAGTTTGTCTACAAAGCACCAGAGTAACATAATAGGATGATTACAAGAGCTACAGCAAACAACAGTTTGATATCGGTGGGATCATGTGGGTGCCACATGATCCCACTGGACTGACGCTAAGCTAGCAGCCTTGGACTGTTGCAGAATTAACGAATTGGGTTATGTTGCTTGATGAGTGGAAGCAGTTTACCAAAACAGAGTGGCAAAATATCAGATTTCTTTAATGGTGATTTTTTTAACTAATAGTATACACATCAATCACATTCAGCTAGCAGCAACTAACACAATATCTATTACCAAATTGAGACTGGTAGAGTGGTAGAGTTGGAGGCACTGTGTGAAGAGTGATAGAAAATCCA